AGGGGGCGTCCGCACCTGTCCTGCCCGCATTCCGCGAGCCGAGCTGCTTTGTAGCCGGCAGGCGTCGGGGATCCTTTTTGCTGCGGAGTCGGTGATGCACATTCATGAATTAAAATTAAGGATTTGCGGAGAACGAAGGAAAACGTACTTGGATTTAGGTTGCTTTTGAAAAGGAATCCACCAAAGAAGCAGCGATGCCTTTGCAAGAGCATTAACTACTGACTGGAACACTGGATGCGGGTGCATGACGAGGATTTGTACTCCAAAAACTTTTTTTTTTTAAATTGCACGTTGGTAAATATTAAGTGCTCTCAAGCAATACCTTACAGTATGTATTTAATGTCCTCATTGCGGAAATTGCTTAAATGTAAGTAATAGTAAGTCCGCCATTTTGAATTGTTTCATGTAACAGACAAATCTTAGGTTCTTGTGTTTCCTTTAGTTCCTTTCTGTTCTTTCTCTGAATTTGTTTTCATCCATAGGTGTTTTTTTGTGTGTGTGTGTTTTTCAGGTTACTAGGTATTGTTACTGTTCACAAAACTAAATTATCCAGTGAGGGTTTTTATCCAATTGTTAATACAAGGGGAAAATAAATTATGTTCGTGTTTATTTTTATTTCTTGGTCACAAATACTGTGCAACTTACAATTACACATGCTAGTACTAGAAAATTTACAACATTGTTGGCAAAGTAGGATTGAAAGCGTTTTCGCCCTGATGAAAAAATTCTCGTGTCATTTTTGTGCCCATTTATATTTAGCTAGGTGGTAATGCAAAAACGCTTTTTTAAAATGCATCTGTTCGTAAGTCAGATGTTTAAGTTCAAGAATAATTTATAAAACATCACAATTGAATTTTATAAAAGATTTTGGGAAAACTTTAAAATCGAATTTTTGGAAGTTTATGCCAGTTACTGTAATTTTGAAAATGCAAATTTGATTGTTATAAGATTTATGCCATGTTGGGGGTTTCTTTGGCTTTGGTTTTGCGCAGATTTGGTAGAGTAGTCATAAATTAACAGAATTGTAATAATCAGTATTTCATTTAAATTAATTATTAGACTCTTGTCCATTTGGGTGGCAATTCTTGCTTCCCAAATTCTTTATCTCTGAATGTATGAAATGGAACAATCCAGTATGTCTAAATTTCCTAAAGAGCTTTAGAAATTAAACTGACACAGGCCTCTTTCTAGTACTTGGAGGTGAGGTGAAGATACTACAAAGAATAAATTGCTTCATTTGACTTTGCCATTTTACAAATAGGATCAACTAATCATTGCTTGATAATCAAATGTCAAGAATTTAAGGATCTGAATAAATTTGTAATACATATTAATTATTAGAACTATTTATAGGTATTTTTAATAGATCTGGAACCAAATGATTCAAAGATCAATTCTCATTAATCCTTGTCAAATTGTAGTGTCTTATAATATGTCTATGCCAAACTTCTTTCAGAAACAATGAAAAATTTATTGTGAAATTAATCAGCACTTAAATAATTCTGGGTTATGTGGAAGGTACTGTCAACTGTACTTCTTTGTAAGTGAAGGAGATTGAATTTTAATATGGGAATGCTTAAAGTTAGTCCAGAATGACTTATTTTAAAGTATGTTGCATATGTAAATTCTAAAAAAAAAACACCAGAATTTTAGTAATTTAGGGGATTTTAAGGGTTGTTTTTTTTTTACCCATTTATTCTGAAGAAAAGAAGATTAAACAGATCTTACCTGTCTGATATTTGATAATGTTTGGTATCTGATCATGTCATTTATTTTTTGTATTTGAAATACTGCTATCATAATTAACAAAACAAAAAAAAACACCAGAATTTTAGTAACTTTAGTGGATTTAAGGGTTTTTTTTTTTTTACCCATTTATTCTGAAGAAAAGAAGATTAAACAGATCTTACCTGTCTGATATTTGATAATGTTTGGTATCTGATCATGTCATTTATTTTTTGTATTTGAAATACTGCTATCATAATTAACAAAACATGATTAAGGGGGAAAATAAGTTATTAAATAAAACATGCATAACAGCTGTCAGGTATAGCACTGATGTCTCTTTAAAATAATTGAAATGTCTTTTATAACTTCCAAATTTGGGGACTGTAAATGATCTTTAAACATTTAATCTAGAGTTGAGTAGATTAAAAAAAGAAAGTGGACATTCAAAGATGAATCCGTTTAGAAGTAATTGAAACTGTTGAGTATAAAAGGAACATTAGAAATTTTTGTTCAGTTAAAGAATTTTTTATTTGGTAATTTTTAGAAGGATCTTATTTTCTTTTAAAATAGTATAGCCCATAAGTGCCCAAAGTTTTTATATTTAAATGCTTTAGAACCTGTACCTGATTTTCTTGCCTTCTAAAGTGACATTTTCTTTACAAATAAGTATTGTTTTCAATGAACCACAAGGTAAAGAAGAATTTTTAGCTTGCCAAGCAAAACAGTGACAATTTTTTACATTAAAAATTAAGATTTATTTATATGAACAAATCTAGGAATATATGAAATATAGAATCACATTGATTTGAGAAACTTGACCACAATATACAGACTTGGATTTATCTGACAGTGACTCTGTGATGTCGCTGACCATAGTGCTGAACCAAGACAGCCATATTGGTCACTGCTAAATCTGACTGAAAACCACACAGAAATTGTAGAGGTTCAAGTAACATCATCACTGTAAGAAATATACACATATATTTCATATATACTTTTTAATGTATTCTTTTTACCCAGCTGAATTGGATTCAATTAGAAATTGTGATAGAGAAATATCCCTGACTGTATAACATTGATTTTGAAGACTGTCAGTTTAATCAATGAGGTCGATGCTAGAGATTTTCTCTTTCTTTGAAAGCTGCTACTTGCAGAGGAAGACAAGATTTTAAAACCAGCTTAAGCAACTAATGAGTTCTTACAAAAAGCAAAATTTTAGTTGATACACACGGTAAGGTTGAGTATGAATTTGATATTTGCAATTTTTGATTCAGGTTTTAGTCGGGCACTATCCAAACCATCATCAAAATGTGTTATCAAAATTAATCAAATTAGAAATAACTCATGAAATAAATTCTACCTGGAAACTATAATAACATATGTAATTTTCTAAATAGAAATATATACTAGTACATTTTGACATTATAATTGTCTTGACTTAGTACTTTGGGGAAATTTTCTATTGTTTGAAGCAGGACAAACACCAGGCTGTCACTACTTACAATATTACTGAATTGAACACTGGTATGAAACCATTATAGAAATTACCTGCAAAAGAATGCTGTAATACATTTAATATCTCAGTAAAAAGTGCTATTTTAGAAATAGAACTTTGACATTATTTTCCTAAAAATAGAATGGGTTGATATGCAGGATCATCAAATTAAGGGTCAAAGGTGACCAACCAGGACAAAGGGCATGCAGCTCATTTTCAAGTAATCAGTTTCCAGTTTTGTCATGGCTGAACAAAAGCTTAATTATATAGAAAAAAGGACATAGTGTTGTATGACCAGTTGTAATGGTGGAAAAACATGTTTTAAATTTTCTAGATACTTTTAGTATTTCTCTTACAGATAGTGGAAATGCAAGAGCCAAGTGCTTTTATATTTTCAAACATTTCTTTTACATTTTTTCAAACTCTACAAAAACATTTCAACTAACATATTCTATACTGTATAAGTTAAAAACAGACTTTTCATAGATTAAAAATTTTAGAAAACCTGTAAATTATGCTCTATTTTTTTTTTTGCATTAACCTCTTGGTATAAACTCTGCTAATTAATGTCCTATTGTTTTTATTTAATATTATATTTATTACACCATTAGATTACAGGCAGTGACATAAAGATGAGCAGTCTTTAAAACATCTCTTGATCTTTATTACATAGAGGTGTTCAAGTTTAATTGGAATCTTTTTTTCCCCCACCATACCAAGAAATTACGTTAAAGTTTCTATCTTTAAAGTTATGGTGGGCCTTCAAAATATGTGATTAGCTTTTTAAACAGGAATTTTGCCATTATTTTGGCTCTTTAATTTAAAACCAATATTTTGTTATTTAATTTAAAGTGACCTTATCAATGATTCAGCTGTGAGCTTTATTTTATGAAACTGTTTAATACTGTGGGAAATACAAACTATTTGCCTTAATTGAACCAACTGTGCTATAGCTCAACTGTGTTACAACTTTCACATTTAAGTTAAAGAATTGTTCTTACCAATTAACTATTGTGCCATATTCAGTGCCTTTAAACAATCTAGACAATATGCCAATTGACTTAATTAATATTTATTGGTTTATTTTCTAGAATAAATTATTTTCTACTACACTTATTTGAAGAGTATTCTAGATCTGCCAATATCTTATGTGAAACCAATAAAATTTCAATTTGAAAGTGGTTGAGAAAGTTAAATTCATCTCTGTAATTTAGCAATATTAGAGATATTAGCCTCTAATTTAAGGTTACCTGTTTATATGTTATAAATAATGAAAAATAAATAATAAATAATGAAAAATAAATTATATAATATAATTTAATTCATAATTATAAAAATATAGTTTTGAAATATTTTTCTTAAGCAATATAAATTTTTCATTCTCTCAAGAAAATGTTCAAAATATTTCACCAAATGTGAAGTTTCCTGTATTAACACTCCAGTACCTATGATTTTTCAATTGTATAAAGTCCCTTGTAAATATCTTTAAAGTAGATCATTTTTAAAAAATTGTCTGTACCTGTATATATTTAAAGGTACAGTATTTCCAGTTATAGGTAAAATTACAGTAGAATGTTCATTTGAATTACACAATTTATCCTGATTGTGCTTATGCAGAATTTGAATTGTCTGTTGACTAATTCGAAAAAAGTAATTAGAGTGAAGGGTTTTAATACATAGTAAACATTTCTTTAGAGGACAGTGTAAGGGGGGTGGGGGAAAGATTAATCAAAGATCTTATATGCATATATGCATTACCTATGGACACAGACAATCGGGATGTGAAGGCCTGGGGTGGGGTGGGAACAGGGTGGGAGGGGGTAATGGGGGGAAAAAGGGAGACATCTGTAATACTCTCAACAAAGATTTAAAAAAAAATTAATTTCAATATTGAACTTCAACATTTAATATTTTATTTAACGTGTTGATGTTATATTATAGTAATCTAAATAAGTATTATGCTTTAGGTTTTGATCTGGTGTTTGTATAGGATGTTTGCTCTATGATTTTAAATAGAGTCATTTTACCCCAATTATTCTTCTAGGAAGGAAAAGTTACATTGGTGTTTACTTTTCAGATAATGTATTTACTTCAATCATAATTAAGTCATATTGTAAATAGACTATAATTGTTGTTATAAACCATAAAGTGAATGTTTTTGTGGTAAACTATAATGTATTTTATACTTACATTATTTTAGAAAATACTGATAATGAGAAACAAAAAATTTGTTTTCTATAGTATTTTTTAAATGTTGAGAAATTATAGTGATGAGAATAAGTAATGAAATAATTTTCCTTTTATATTGATAAATATTCTTGATTACTAAATCGTTTTTTGAGAATTTAAAGTAACTTGCATATTAATATTAGAGAGGAAAACTAACATGATGTAAATGGAATTGAAATAAAGTTCTGAGTAATATGTTATAGTAGTGTTTTTACTTATTACTCAATTCTGTGGACTCCACAGCTTAATTGGCAATTTTTTTAAAAAAAGGAGTGTATAATGTGTAGTAGTAACCATTTTCCTTTATATTGAATAGTTAAAATAGTGAATTAACAACAATATGTCAAGTACTTGAGAAAAATATTGTTATATATTTTAGTAGTAAGTATGAAGTCAAAGAGTGTTTGTAATAGATAGTGTTCACCAGTTAAGCAATTTTAGAACAGTAAGTACATATATTTTAAATAAAATTCTTGAAATCACATTATATGCAAATGTTTTGTATTTGTAATAGTCAAACGATTAAATACCTAGCACATTCCCTTTTCTTAAAAGATAATTTTTAAGAAAATGTTATATACAAATTCATTTATTTCATAGAAAGCTGTTCTACAGATGGTTTAGCCAGGTTCAAAAACACATTAACTACTTATTGATTCATTTAAAAAATGTGTATTAAACACCAAAGAATGCCAGGATTAAAATGATGGGCTAAATCTATACAACCCCTGCCAACATAGAGCATAGAATCCATGTGGGAGAGACAACACTTTCCTGGGCTTATTATAGTCAATTGCAGTACAGTATTAAATGGTAAAAGCAATGTACTCAGTGTGTAACAATAAGAAAAATAGATTGAAGTAGAGGTAAAATGATGAATAGGTATTATTCCAGTGAAGGGTCAGAGAAGTATATTCTAGCCTATCACAATTTTAATTAAATTTTTGTTTTTTAATATTTACTCCAAAGTATAATATTAAATAAATACAGCCATGTATAAAACTACAAACAGCTGGTTTTTTATTATTCATCCATTTAAGGAATTATTTTAATTGTTATTTCATTTCAAATAGTCACCTATAATAAGAATATGAACATTTAATATTATAAATATTCTATGTAACATTTACCTACCTCATTCTTATTATAATTGTTCAGTAAATATTGGATGGAGTATAATATTCATATTTAAACTTAATTCTTTACTAACTTTTGTTCTTGAAAAAGTTTATACCATTAACATCAGTGAAATATATCAATTAATGTCTGTGATATAATTCCATCTTTTCCTTTGAAAGGGGATATTCAAACTATAAATAACAACAACAAAAAAACACTATCATATCTAAGTTTGGACAGTGAAAAATGTGAACATCTTTATCATTCGAAATGATTGCCTTTTGTAAACCCAGAAAGCTCATAGTTAGAGCTCTTAAATAACATTATGCCATTTCATTTTTACTTTTAAAGCTACCATTTATAATTATCATCTGAATTAGTTAAAAATTTTTATCAAACTCTATTGATTGCTTTTCTACATCTTTAGAATATGTTGGTTTGAACTTTTCTGTAAATATAAGTAGAGAAAATTAAGCATGGGCCATGGGCTATTAGAATAGAAAAAACATGACCTATGGTTTTGCAGAAATTATGTGTAATATTTAGATAAAGCCCTACATAAACTTAGTGTGCAAAATAAACAATATAGCCTTAATGTGAAGGAAAGCTCTATTTTAAATGTTATAATGAATTTTGTTAATATTAGGGTCTGTCATCATCTGTCTTTTGGTTGTAAACACAGGATTTAATGTAGAGTTTCATGTCCTTTTGATCACATTCTTCCTCTATTCAAATTTTACTCAGTGGGATTGTCATCCTTTATAAGAAGAATCTTGGGTCAACATTCAGAATAACTCTGAACTTGGAAAAGCCTCCATTTGGTGGTGGTTTTTTTTTTTTAATTTTAATCCTTACCTGAGGATATGTTTATTGATTTTAGAGAAAGAGGAAAGGAGAGAAACATCGATGTGAGAGAGGAAACATCAACTGGTTGCCTCCTGTCCATGCCCTGACTGGGGATGGAACCTGCAACTTTTTGGTGCATGGGATGATGCTCCATCCAAACTGAGCCACACCTACCAGGGCAACATTTAGTTTTGAGAAGAAAATTAAATTGCAACTTAAAGAACTTACACATAATGGCTTATTTTGTGAGAGTTGATATAGTAGATATAACATGTAAAACTTAGTTAAGGGAACAAAGACAACCCTTAGTTAAGGTGAGTGGATGCATGTTCAAACAGATCTATTTTCCAAACTTTAATAACTAACCTGAGGATAAAAGTGATAATTCAGTGGCTATCAGGAGTTTCTCTTCCAATTGCTATACTCCATTACTGAGTAAAGTCTTTTTTGCAAGTTTTATTGTGTTGTGACATCTGCTAGCAGATATATTAGATATTTCAGAAAGTGTTCTTTTTTTTAAACAAAAACTGTTGCTTTTTAAAATCTGGGTTAATGCGTATTAGATACTTTAATTAAATATACTTAATGATTAAATGAATTACTACTAAAGTAATTTTTTCCCAAAGGATATTTGAATGTAACAGCGAGAGACCTAATATCAATGCTGTAGTACCACAATTAGATTCTCATGATTTATCTTCTATCTAAAGCATATCTGAAGAGAATAGACAAATAAGTTCATTAAGAAGCACAATATTGTAGGATAGCTTGATTCTTAACTGTTAATAAAAATGGGATTCTTGCCCAGTGGCTCAGTGTTTGAGCATCATGAACCAGGAGCTCTAGGTTGGATTCCCGGTCAGGGCACATGCCCGGGTTGCAGACTAGATCCACAGTAGGGGGCGTGCAGGAGGCAGTGGATCAATGATTTTCTCTCATCATTGATGTTTCTCTCTCTCCCTCTCCCTTTCTCTCTGAAATCAATAAAAATATATTTTTAAATGGGATTCTTGAATTACAATGTAATATGAAATATTTTTAAAATGTAATTGCGTTGTTGATGAAATCGGGATATTTGACATCTTAATGGTCTTGTTTAAAATGTTAATTTTAAGCCAGTGTCCTTTAATAGTAATGAAAGGCAAGTTTATGCCAATTGGTTATCTTTCTAATATTGCTAGGTGAGTCTTAAATTTGACTTCACAGAGTCAAAACGTAGGCATTTTATTGCTTTCTAATGAGCCATTAAGCTGATGAAGAGGCAATTGAATAGGCAATTAATGTAGTTCTAACTTGAGCTATCTGGTTTTAGGTTCTTCAGAAGAGGATGAGGTCATTCAACCAGTTTTCATCAGCCCCAGGTTAGTCTCTTTTTTTTCTCTTTTCTTCAAATAAATAATTTACTTAAGTTTGAAAAGATCACTAGAGGCATATAAGAAACTTGACAGCCTTCAGAAATTCACTTTGGCAAGATGGGTACCATGTCCCACTGTACTCCAGCTAACTCTGTCCTATAAACTGATATTCCCACCAGGATGCATGGATGAAATCTCCTAATTAACTCCTTTTCCTCCTGATTTTAGCAGCATTGGATTTTGTGATTTTTTTCATAACTCAGGCAAAATAGATATTTATATGCTTATGTAGCTGAATGAAGATTATTTGTAGTTCATTTTTGAAACACCCATAGGCTGAATTAATTTAAAGATAGAGAGTTGGTACTGTTTTCAAATAAGTTACCATAATATAAATAGCACATTTTTTCAGAGAATTAGGGAATTTCGCTAGTCTAGGAAATCCTCCATTTATTTTGATTTTCATGAACTTGTATCATATTTGTTCCTTATTATACTGCAATAATGAGGCATTTGAACTTTTAACACTTTAAGCCTGGACTTTTTTTGGTATATATTTTTTCATTTATTTAGGTGTACTATAAACCTAGATTTTGGGTACATAACTATTTTCTGAAAACTTAAACTATTTTTGGCTCTGATGAATTTAATATCTTGTCTCTATTGACTGATATTACTATGAAAATACATTTAAAAGCTATGATATAACAAAGTTTCTGATCATTAAATAATACAAGTAAAAAGATGTTATTCTGTTATTAGCTTATCAAATTTAAGATTGTAGGTAGCAAGAGGAAAATAGTAGGGATCAAAAAGTTTAATGAGGAAACCACTGCTAGGCATTGCCATTTGACAAACACTTTCCTTTTTTCTAGAGTGAATCCTTTGACATGGAGATGATGCTCTAATGAGTATCATGAAAAAGAAGATTCTGAAAAGTTGTTACAATATTTTAATTTACCAACTAGTTTCTGATAACTGTAGATTGTGGTTTTTCTGTGGGGGCAAACTGGAGACAGTCCAGATAACCTTTTTCTTTTCTGTTGGGAAATAATGTTAACACCAATGTGTTAAGTGACTGCAATAAAGTTTCATGTCTGTGTTTCCTTGTGATTAAAAAGGGGTTGTTTGGGAGAGGATCCACTTTCACCAAAAAGAATGGCTATTTCCAGGGATTACATTTAAGCTGAAATACTTGAACATCAACTGGTCCAGTCTCTCTTCACTTTGCAAATGAAGTAACTGAGGCCAGAGAATCTTAGTGATTAGCAAGGTCAGCAAGTGGGACCAGAACTCTGGCTTCTAGTTTCTGGCTGGATGTTCTTTCTCCACAGGTTTGCTTCCCACACAGGCATCTTTAAAACCTGATTTCTTCCCACTCCTCTCATCTTTTATTCCCCTACTGTTCTTTTCCTTCCCATGTTCCATACACCTGACCCCTTCTCCCAAATAAAGCCAAAGTGGAAATATTAAAATAAATACCTGGAAAACAGTCCACTCTCTTATTTCATTTATTTCTTTTGATGAGATTAAGTTATAATCAACTTTCACTCATTGCCTTGGAGGGGAAAGAATACATGTTTACATTCTTTAGTGTCATTTATAGACAGAATATTTACTGCAAAAATATGTTTAAATTATGAAACATACATGTTCAACTGGTGCAGGTGAAAAATACTGGCTCATTTTTCATATAAAACATGAAGCTGCCTTTGTGCTATTCTGGGCAAAATAATGGAGAGCTTATTACAAAATGATTTTTCTAACCTATTTCTGTCCTCATTAAAATCATTTAAGAAAAAAATGTTTATTTTTCCTTTTTATTGGGGGAGTTGTTTCAAGGAAACTTTCTACAAAATGGATGCTCCAAAATTAATGTCCTTTTTCTGAATTAATTTTATTTCTATAAATACTTTGCTGAAACATAGCTGGTCAAAAAGAAGGAAACATTTGCAAGTGTTTGTTTTTTGAAGTGTGAAAGCAATTTGGAAAATTTAAAGTATGTGCTAATAGTTTCCTGTATTTCCATAATTTTATTTAATTATACCTGGGGAAATGTGTTAAGATATTTAAGAAAAAATTTTTAAAGAGATTTACAACTGTGTAAAAATTCTCAAGTGGGAAAAATTGTGTTAAAAGCCAGAGAATTTTCCTTCCAGATAAGGAAATTAAATAACGGAATTTTGCTTTTTGAAAACAAAAAACATAATGCCCCCATATTCTGAAGTGCCTTTATTATAAGATCAAGGCACCCAGCGGAGTACTCTTTCATTTGATTCCGTATTGTAAGAATTTTAAGAAAGTTATTTGCTTAGTAGTTTGCTGAAACCTCAATGGGAAGGGATCGGGAACAGTTTGCCCGATGTGCAGCTTTTGAGCTGGAAACCACAATCTTCAAGGCCAGAGAGCAGGTTCCCTAAAATCGCCCCTGGCCGCCCCCTTGCCGAACGAGGGCTTTTCCTGACCCTCCAAAGGCGCAGGGCGCTGTTTTCGTGGCTGCCCTAAAGGACCGGCGCCAGGAGTCTGAAGACCTTTGCATTTTAGGCAATGCCGGGGTGGTGATGGGGGTGGGGGGGAGTAAGGGCTTAGTGGTCATTTTCTGGGGTTCTCCTGATTCCTTCCCCTTTGACTTCACTTATCTTAGATTTCCGAGACTGATATCTCACAGATAAAGGGATCACATTATAAATGATATATCTGGAAACGCAGTAAAAGTAGTAGACTGTGCCTTGCAAGGGTTGCCTTCCATAGTGGTAAAGGCAAGGGTTTCCTTTGGTTG